TGAGTCACTGATTGTCCAGAGGGATAACCTTAGACGTTGGGCAGCTAAGGCGCCTGCAAAAAGACGGAATGACTTTGATCAATAATTCATCAATAATTACGTGCAGCTTTTTTGACCTCTTCGAAGACGAGAACTATTTCATCTGCATATTGCAGATTGGAGGCTATTTCAACACCAGGGTTTTGAAGACTTTCCAGCGTTCATCTCATTTTTTCCTGGTCGGTCAAGTGTGTTAGGGAGAACAGCTAGATCAACTGAGTCGAATACGCCTTGAAAGTCCCGGAGTGCTACAGCCCATTCGTCAAGACTGACAACTCCGATCGTCTTAAAGCATAACATTTGGGGCAATGAAGCATAAGCGTCGAACGCTGATGTTTAGCTCCCGACGCTGAGCATGACGCGGAGGATAAGGTGGCCAAAGCCTACCTGTTCTTCAACTACAGCGAGAAAGCTCTGGGAAAACACTCATCTAGCGAATATACACATCACAAATGAGAGATTCAGCTGGGTTCCAGGTGAGTCTCTCGAAAAATCAAATTATTTTGCAAATAAGTGTATATTCGCTAATTTCGTGCAATCTGGNTGGTTTCAAGTAGAACATAAGGTTGACGGAAATCCGGGAACCGAGCCTACCTGATGAGCCCCAAAAGGGCGAAACCGGTCGTGGGCTGTCGACGGATTTTCAACAATCTTATGAGTAGTACGTTACAAAGATAAAACACTCATTTTTTTCGGCCTTGTTGCCTTGTTCAAATACCGCGCAGGCCGTGCGTTTGCACCACTGAACTTGGAATACTATTTCATTCGATTTTACCATTTGTTTTGCGAAATCGCGTGCAGAACGTACAGTATGCCAAAACGGAAGGTACGTTGAATTGTTCCTGACAACACCTCATCATCAAACGACGAACCTTATGGTCCAAAAACGGAAGTGGACACGAAGTGCGATGGTCCTGTTTTTTTCCAGTTGATCTGCTTTAATGACGGTCATCTCTTTCATTTCAACTTCCACCTACATTTTTCAAACGGTACAAAACACAGTCCACTCACATCACCCCCTGTTTTATGAAAAAAAGAAACAACAATAAAGCATGGGATTTCAGGGAAATTCTATTTCTACAGCAAAACTATTGATCAACGAAAAAGCAACCAACAAACTCCACTTTACATTTACTCAGAAAACAAAACAATTCTATGGATCGACAATTTATTCACACCAGTATGTCTTTTAGAGCATAGGTATAACATTGTTTTCATATCCTTGTTCGTCTACCGTGGACTGGACTCAACTTGAAAAGCCTTTTTTCTCGGAAACCTTTGTTCTCTTTCTACTGCTGCCGTCATTTTGAAAAGTACAGTGGCAGTTGTACTGTAAGGAGACGTCAAATGTGGAAAACTATGCGGTCGTTCCACCAGGTGGCACGCATCTGTGGACCTTGTTACTTAAGTGCTAAACTGGGTCACGCCGACTCAAATTCTCTTTTATGAAGCGGTCGTGAAGCCTCGATCGACAGTGATTCACAGTGGGTTACGGAAGCCAAGATCCCCACACAAATCCACAAACGTTTTCAACCTGATAACCATGCAACGTTGTTGTTCCGAGAAACACACTCATTTCGGTATCAATTTAGTTTTTCTTTACGGAAGACCTATCAGGAAAGTAGCTGAATCTCTTATTTGTGATGTCCTGAACATTATTAGTGTGTTATGTCTTCAACTGTTGTTCGTGTGTGTGTG